GGAAAAGATACGCTCGATGTGAGTTAAATCCAACCCAAATTTTTAGGTTTTGAAAAGACACCGCCACAACTATTTTATTCTACTGTAGTTCTTTAGACTATACTGTGTGTGTGTGTGTGTGTTATGTGTTAAATTTGATTTCTATAAATTTGTCAAATCTTAACAGCTCCACAGAGCTAAATGACAACAAGTCCAACTAATTAAATAACAATTGATATTAATAAACGAATGCTGTCACTCGAAGTATAACAAGAACTTTTATGCGATTAAACAAAAGAAAAAATCAAAAGAATACAAAATCAGCGTTTGCCGCCAACTCGTGGCTGTTGGGTTTTCGTTGGTTTTGGTATCTTCATCTTCGATGGAGCAGCCTTCTTCTCCTAAAATTTAATGTTCGATGTATAAAGCATTATTAAGTAGAGCAAAAATTTTTGTATCAACTGAAGAAAAAATATAGGCCCAATCTACATTTTGGAACATACAATTCAATCAATAATGAAATGATATTTTCACTGTCAGTCATCAATACTTTCAAAAATGGTACTCAACGACATGCAAATATTTGCAAGCTCTACCTTTAACGCCTTATTTGCTGCTTTCTTCTCGCTCTTTGATGCCCGCGCAGCTTCTTTCGCAGCTTTTATTGCCTGTTCACGTTGTGCACGGCGAAATTCCGGTTTCTGATTTCGTTTTGCAAGTATAGCTTCTAGTGAAACATTACCAACTGCTCGAGAAGCAATTTGTATAACGCGTCGTGTTCGTTTCTTCTGTGCATTTTCTTCACCATGAACACCCTTCAAACAACATAAAATCCAACGAAATCTTAATCTAACACATTCTCCAATATTACTAGTCAGTTATTTCAATTTTATGTAATACCACGGTTGTTCCAATCTTAAGTAACACCCACTGAACGAAACAGTACAACGCAGAGAGTAATTATGCAGCCACCCTCCAACGAAGACTGATATAGCAAAAATATAAATCGAAACTGGAATCAACAAAATAATCTATTAAAGTTCTAATACGGTTTGACGTATGTTGAGACTTCAATCAAAACGACAGTATCATGCCGAAACCTCTAAGTAATTCTTGGTTTTTAAATCATCGAAACAAAATTTAATGGGAAATATCAATCAGCTTCAATTAGTCCTACAATCACCCAACGTATCCTCCCACACTACTAATTCATTGTTTCAATCACAAAAGAAAATAACCTTTTTGTGTTTACGACGGTATAACACTGTCCACGGTATGTCACGAGGATTTCGTTTTAATCTGTATGATCGTTGGCATTTTTTGTTCAAAAATATTTGCACCTGCATCGGAAAAAAAACTAAAGCACTCCAATACTTGAAAATGAAATTTACAAAAAAAAAGAATCAATGAAAGATATCGCATCGAATTTCGTTTTATGAACAACCGTAGAATTAAAAAATGATAAAAGATGAGCCAATAGATAAGGCATATTAATATTTCGCACAACAAAAACACCAAGCAAGAGTTAAAGTCCTGCATTATAGCTGGCAGAAAGTATTTGAACAAATCGCAAAAAACATCACCACAAAGGCTTATTACGGATAAAGCGAAAGCTCTGCTTGCGAAAACACCGCTTCCGCTAAACTACTCCTATGCTCCATGAATATCATACTGTTGCTCTCTTATAACTGTTTGGTAATATTCACGAAATATCAGTCAATTTATCGCCAAAGTGCTGATATTTCAACTCTCTCACATGCTACATTTTTGTCTTCCTGATACTGTGTTTCTTCAGCTAATGTATATTTCATTCAACAAAAATTAATGTATGACGTCGAAATATCCTTAAGAATCAAACCTT